AAAAAAAAAAAAAAAAGAAAATAATTTTACGGTTGGGGGTCACCACAACATGAGGAACTGTATTAAAAGGTCACAGCATTAGGAAGGTTGAGAACCACTGGTCTTAGTGGAATTGTAGGGTGATAGGGTAAACTTCTTGTCACCTCTTTCCCAATTTTCTTTCTCCTGAGAACCCCGAGTGTAAGCCAGACCCCCAGGAGGCACCCAGAGGACTCCCTCCCTCACCCGCACCCTCCCCACCTCAAACACTCCCTCCCAACTCTCTCAGCTCCATCTCTGCTTCTCCATTTGCTCTCACCTTGGTTCAGGTCACACTGCCACTTTCCTGACTGCCCTGTTGCTAGTCTCCTCTCCCCTAAGCCACCAGCAATAGTGTCTCAGTGGCAGCTTTGAAGTGCACAGCAGACCTTGACCTTGAGTCTTGGGCACTCAAACCTGTCCATGCCCTATAACAGGCTCCAGGGTATGATGATCTGAGCCCTGCCTCCCCTTACTCCTCAGGGTACCTGCACAGGCCACCCCAAATACCCTCTTTGGCATATGGATTATTTTGAAAACCAGCAGAAGCAGAAGCTCTTTACCTCCCATAATTGCTGAAAAAAAATCAAGTACAGAGGAGATTTACGCTTATACAAATGTCTTCAAGAGGAAGAGAGCTATTTCCAGAGTCTCTTGCCACTTGAGAGACTCTGAATAACCTGACAGTTCTTACTAAACTCTGCTCCCCTCCCCAGCACTCACCTCCCAACCCTGGAAGCCCCAAGCCCCTTTTCCTTTATTTGGTCTAAGACTATAAATAAGCCTCAATCAGCTGCCACCCTGTTGGGTTACACTTTTGTGAATTTCCCTAAACAAGTAGTTCAAGCTGTTTCTTATTGTCTCTCTTGTTAATGCTTTACCAGTTTGATTCACAGGCCCCAGGCACTGAACTTAAGAGGGGAGCAGGAAAGATATTCCCTCTCCTTTCACATCCTCCCATCTGCCCCTTCTCCACACCCTTATAGAGTGCCTTACTGTACCTGCTTCCCTGCCTTGTTCTGCCCATACCGCAGCTAAAGTTGCGCCTCCTCCAGGAAGCCCTCCATGACTGCTTCCCACCTTCTTGGCCACTCACCTGCTGCACCGGCTCAATGGTCAGCTCCATGTAGCGACTGATTGCCGCCATCGTCTTCAGTGACTTGCGGTGCGACATTGTGGTGAGAGGCACCCACTCTGAATTCTTTTAAGTGGAGACAGAAAGGGGAATTCTTAAAGTTAGAAGGCACTTTCTAAAAATAAGTTACCATTTTATTCAAAAGAACCTCCAGGATATTTTGTCTGGGTTGTTTGTTTGGTTTTATTAACAGCACATCTCACTTTCTGCTTCCTCTAAAATGTGTCTGTCTGAGGTCACAGGTTACCAAACTTTGCAGCATAGAAGAATCAACTGAGGATCTTAAAAAACAAAACTACTGTTTAGTTCCCCTCCCAGACATTTAATTGGTGTGGGACATGACCTGGGCATTGGATAGTTTAAAAACTCCCCAGATGGGATGGCACCCATAGCCCAGTGGGTAGGGTGTGGCGGGCTTGAACTAGGCCCAGGCCAGCTAAAACCATAGTGACAACTGCAACAACAACAACAAATAATCGAGCATTGTGGCAGCTGCCTGGAGTCCAGCTACTTGAGAGGCTGAGGCAAGAGAATTGCTTAAGCTCAGGAGTTGGAGGTTGCTGTGAGCTGTGACGTCACAGCACTCTACCCTGGGCAACAGCTTGAGACTCTGTCTCAAAAATAAATAAATAAATAAATTAAATTAAATTTAAAATAAATGAATAAAAATAAAACTCCTCAGATAATTCTAATCTTGTTATCATCTTTTACTGGTTTGATTCACATGCCCCAGCCACTGAACCTAAAAGGGTAGTGGGAAGAGATTTTGCTCTTCACTTCTTCCTTCCTTTTGACCCTCCACTGTGGCCTTGGAGAGCTCCTTACTGTTACCTGCTTCCTGTCTTGTCCTGTCCATCCCTCAGCTAAAATAGCACCTCCTCCAGGAGGCCCTCCACGACTGCTTCCCATCCTCTTGGACACCCAACAAAGCTTAGGAACCACTGTAGTGGGTGCCAAATAAATGCTTTAGAAAGCACTGGTTCTCAAACTTTAATATGCATCAGAAGTACTTGGTGGGCTTGATAAAATACAGATTACTGGGCCACATCCTCAGCTTCAGATTTGGGAGGTCTGAGTGGAGGCCTAGAATCTGCATTTCTAACAGTTTCCCAGGTGATGCTGGTCTAGGCCTACTTTGAGAACCATGAGTGTAAAGCGTTGCTGAAGATGCTCTAAAGCAGTGGTTCTCAACCTTCCTATAGCTGCGGCCCTTTAATACAGTTCCTGTGGGTCATGGTTAAGAACCGCTGCTCTAAAGGCTTCTACTTCTCTCTTCAGAATACTAAGACACTCAGAACTCTCTCTTAACATTTTAGCTCCTTTTTGGCTATAACTACATAACAGTTGCTAGAAAAAAATGAAAATAATTTCCCACTAGGGCTTTCCTGGGAACTTGGATAAGAAGCTTTTATCTTTGTATATATGCCACTTTCCTCTATCTCATTAACTCAGATTGCATTGTTAAGCCTTTTGGAGGATATTTGGAGTAGTTCTCTCTTTTATCTGTCCAAATGCACCCTCCCCCTTCCTCTGTCCTGGCCACAGGGACATTCACTCATGGCTTCATTCCTACCCCTGCAGGAGGAACTTAAGGTAGTGAAGAGCCCAGGTAACAGGTGAGAATATTTTCCTTAAAATAATTACCTTAGAAAAGAGGGAACTACCTTACAGTCTCGTCCTAACAAGCTTTATTGTATTTTGAGCTATCTTCTCAAATATTTGGAACCAAGAACTTTTACGAAAACAAATGGCCTCAATTATGGTAAGTTCTGTCTACTTATCGATGCCACCTATTTAAATCAGTAAAAGACAAACATATTTGCCCTACACGTACTTACTCTTACTGATGGTATGACATTTTTGCAAATGTTGACTGTTATTGTAAACACTTCTAAAGATCAGCTTTTTAGCAATATCAGCTAAAAAAAACAGCAATAGAAGAACTAGTTACATTGTAGTGACCACAAAAAGCAAATGGGACCTTGTGGCTTGAGACGAATTTCTAGAGACAGCATCACAGGCAGATTCCCGGAGCCTGTACCAAACAGCTTAGCATGATGACAGGCTCTGGGACACTGTGCTAAGTGGTGGGGACCGTTTCAACATCAAAGATGCGTGTGAAGCTCAGCACCTGTAGCTCAGCAGCTAGGGCGCCAGCCACATACACCAGAACTAGGGGTTCGAATCCAGCCCAGGCTTGCCAAACAATGACAACTACAACCAAAAAATAGCTGGGCATTGTGGCAGACGCCTGTAGTCTAGTTACTTGGGAGACTGAGGCAAGAGACTCACTTAAGCCCAAGAGTTTAAGGTTGCTGTGAGCTGATGCCATGACATGCTACCCAGGGCAACAGTTTGAGACTCTTGTCTCAAAAAAAAATCACCAAAAAACAAAAAAATGTGTGTGAAAGTGAGAACACATTTTTGAATGAAATATGAGTGGAAATTGCATTATTTTAAAATCAATATATCAATGTATATAGTATGTGATTTATGTAATTCATTAATCAATAGCATGGGCAACTGACTATTTCATCTACATTGCAAGTGTATTTAGTTCATTAAGGGATCGAAAAGACTAAAAAAATTGTAAGTGGAAAAATGGAGGATCCGGCTCGGCACCTGTGGCTCAAGCGGCTAAGGCGC